GAGATGTTTCTCTGTTAGTAATCTTTTCATACTCAGTATGAGAGATTGCATTAAGCAATATTGTCCTAGCCTTATGGTGATTTTTGAAATCCTTCTTCTGGGCTTCTGTCATTGATTTTCTATCAACTTTCTTGCCATCCTCATTTGTAGGATGTTCATAGCCATCAATGACCAAGTCCCACAAATAAGCATCATACCCAAGGAAGAAACTTTCTATCATGTCCTTCCAGTAATCAAATTTCTCTCCATCAAACACGGGAGGCTTTGTGCTGATTCTATCCTCTTCATATTTGTTACAGTTGGATGTAGAAGCATCACCCATAATGACAAACAGATATATATCAAAGTAACTTTTCTCACTGGATCTTTACTGACACGGTTAAGTGGTAGCACACGCAGAACCGGAGCTCTGATGCCAACTGAAGGTGAGAAAAATACTTAGAAGGGGGGGTTGAATAAGTATGACAAATAATCACAGATTCAAACACAGTTATTTTTATCCTGGTTCATTGAACTCAACTACTCCAGTCCACCCTCTCAAGAGTGATTTGCCTTTCTCAATCAAGGACTTAATCCACTATTTAATCAAACAGATTACAATAGTAACACCTAAGAACAACTGTTCTTAGTCTTCTCAAGAGCTACTGATCCCAACTGGATCCTCTTAAGGAAACCTTTTACAATCAATGTAAAACTATTACAAGAGTAAGAATGCTTCTAAAAAGCTATTATCACAGCTGTGATATTTCTCTTAAGTTTAAGAACAATGTTACAACAAATAAAATAAAAGAGCTTTTGAGAGTTTTGCTTTGAGTGAATTTTGCAAGTAGTTCATTACTGAAGAAGATGGAGTGGACTTCTTTATATAGGCACTTAGATCCATGAAGTCTTCTCAATGTTGAAGGCTGTGCTGAAAAGCCTGGTGCCTTTTGTCTTTACATTGGAGGTTGTGCTGAAAAAGCCTGGTGCCTTTTGTCTTTTACTTTGCAGAAACTTTCCTTAGAATGGAATGCACAGATAAAACCTTTTTGTCTGTGCTCTTGTGTCTAGCATAAAAGAGGAAAGAGCTGTTGAGATATGCCAACGTACATATTCAAATCTTCTTCACTAAGTAAGTTCAGCTATCAACATCAGAGTCTGGATCTTCAGAATCTCCAGAGCAGAGATCTTCTGGATCTTCAGAGTCTTGGGATGTTCTTCAGATTATGCTGAATCAGAGTATATGCAGCTTGTGTGCTTGAGCGTGTAGTTCTGTCAGAGCAGAGTCTTCTATATCAGATTCTCAATACTATGCAGCGCAGTATCTTCAGAGTCTTCTGATGACTAAGCTTCTGAACTCTCAGAGTCTTCTATTCTTTAGAGGCTTCTGCTTCAGAATCTTCAGTAGACAGCACTCAGATTCTTCTGGGAGCAGCGTTCAGATCTTCATTTAAGATGCTTTTGAACCTTTGAAGCCTTTCATAATATCATTGTTCAGATCCAAATTTGCTCTCTTAAGAATATTTTCTTTAGTACCTGTAGCAAACAGTCTAGAACAAATTTAGAGTATATAATTCTTGAATACAAAATTCATAAGTGTTATCATCAAAACATAGAGATATTAAACATAGAGATATTACTAAGAAACAATCTGTGTTCTTACACTATGTAGGCCAAGAAAGTGGCATTTGGTTCAATTAAAAGTGTCTCATAGAATCCGATCTTCTTTTTATGCGCAACAACAGCTTCAAAAAAAATCTAGCCATGTGATTAAGCTCTCGTTCCATATATGTATTCTGTATCAAAACTTTGATATCGCTTGCGGACAAGCTCGGCCAGAGAATCTTCCTTAACTATCTTGGCAGCATTTCTGAGGCCTCGGGCCATTGTATCCATTCCAAAAATATGAGCTATGAACAAGTCTTCAACATCTGTGCTCTCTCTCCGCAGTTCAGCGTCAAAGTTGAATCTACCTGGTGCAATTCCATCATTTTTGATAACACTGAGCATAATCATTATTGCCTCTTGGATATCTACGGGAAATTGATCTTTGTCCCAACCAACTTGAGGATCACCGGTATTTGCATCAATGTTACCCAACAATCCATAATCCTTGCATTTTCAAGCTCGTGTTGACAACTGTGACCAGATAGGGTGGCATGGTTGCACTCAATGTTACTTTTGAATTCCCCTATAAGTCCATATTTTCGCAAGAAATTAGCTGTAGTTGCTTTTAGATTTCATTGAATATTAATTCAGCTCCTTGTAAACATACAATAGACAATTATTCTGTCTTCGCAAATAGCAAATTATGTTGCAATCTCAAAAAAAGAATTAGATACTTGTACTTGTCCTTGAACTTGACTTGTAAATTTTTAATACTCGTTCTTTAAACCAGAGTTGTCGTATGAATGTATGATGTATTAGAATTTGGGCATTAACACTTCAAGGAATCCAAATGAATCATCTTTCCACATAAGCTCACATTTTCCAATTGATTCAAACCATTCGAACTCAAAACATTAAGAATCGAACTTTAATGTCATAGGGAATCCATAAATCAAGTCTTGGCACTTCGTTATTTTTGCAAAAATACTGAAATCAAAATACATTTGAATGAATATTTTAGTCTCGAAGCTAAACTTGTGTTATAACATCTCGATCTTAATGGTATCCAGGAAGAGATGTCAATACATCTTGATGAAAATTGGTAGGGAATATACTCATGAAGGTGGTGCATCAAACCTCTCGTGTCCTCGAGAATAACTTACAACAAAATCCTGAACCATAAACCACTGAGGCATGATCTTGATTTTAATGAGATACAACTAAGAATTTATCCCAAAATGTCTTCCCAGTATTGATCGAAGAATGAGAAACAATTCTAACAGTGGGACCCAGATCGAATAGAAACCTTAGGAGCACTTTGAATCAGGATTGATTGGTCAGGCCCTCAAATGCTTAATTTGAGAGAATAAGTATCATCCACACTTGATATCATTTACCTGCACAAGCTAGTTAGTCGCACACACAAGTATAAAGATAATACGCAAGAAAATGCATAAGGAAAATGGGATTTTAAGGTCAAAAATTAGGGTGCTACACGAAGGCTCACTATGATGGCACTATGGGCTTTCTCGATCATCATCATTTTCTCCTTCTTCGTTAGGGAAATATTCATCTCCTCTGATCCTTTCAACGCTTCTAAAAAACTATGATGAACTAGTAGGGCTTGCATCTTCAAGTGCCACAAACTGAAATCATTCACACCAGTGGATTTCTCAATCTCATATTGTATTGACGATATCTTCTCCTCCGCACTCACCGTATCAATTTGGTGTGAAAGCGATGCCCAGAAAATAGAGTATGATCGATTTCTTGGTCAATAAGAAAACCACAAAGTAAAAGAAAAGAGAGAAGAGAAGAGAAAGACAATTCAAAGTGGAATAAAACTGGATTCTTTATTCAGTTACACATTAAAGAACAATGCTTATAGTTGAATCTCAACCACACCACTTTCTCTCTCTGATTAGGATTATCAGGGATTGATGGAGAAGTGATGACTAGTATGCTATTTATAAGAAAATGAAACCCTACCTTTCAATTAACATACTAAACAATTGGTCCAATAAACTGACTCAACTCAACATGTTAACTTAAGCAACAAGTAACATATTTCAACAGTTACACTAATTCTTCGACTTTGACAAAATTTACTACAACACTAGTTTAAAATCCATACACTACATGACCTAACATACCTATTTATAAGATAGCGACCCTAGTACCACTCATGATCCTAGACGTTAGAATTACACCTATTTCTATACAAATCAAAATTATTGTTAAAGCTCCTTATTATTGTCAAACTTAAACATTTCTAAATGGTTCACATTTACAACATCAATCCATCTTATATAATCAAAACTTACAAGTTCACAAAAGTATTTCTAACATGAGAGTCAATTTTATATATCAATTACTTGTGCCATGTTTCACATATCCAATTCTAAAGTGTGAAAGAGTCTCATGTTAATATGACATCATGTTCGTAAAGATAACACTCCTTACTTTACCCGCTAATCATCTAAGATTGATTTTAAAACATTCCAAATTCTGATTTTTATTGATTTTTTACAAGAAGGTCGGCGAGGTTAAGTTTTAACAATTGGATGGTATTATACCATCTTGGGTTTCACGTTTTCATATACATATATAATATATTAATCGCATATTGAGCAAAAAGTAAAATCGCAATCATGAATTGTATTACAGGGTCAAAGTGTATTCAAAAACTTTGAAATTTTACACTAATTTTGTGAAAATTATGTACGTAAGGGATGACAAATTCAAAAGCATACACAATGAAGCAAACTTGTTCATACTGGAATAAGGATCACTTGATTACTTGACAACCAAGCAACCATGACATCAAAACCTCACGTATTTAATTTCTTTGCGTCAGCTGCACATCCGTTGGATCTAAATGTAAGTTGATTTAGATTCTCTGCATCACCGCCGCAGAAAAGAGTCTCACATTAGATAATATATGATCTGGTGGATGTAATTTTCACCATTGTAAACTGATTTTATAAGATTGAGTTAACTTCAACTACAATTTTAAGAAGGTCTCAGAGTGCTAGATCATCTGCGATAAGGTTTAACATAAGTTAGTGCAATTGGATCTAGTACTTATATCCAAATCCAAATAGTGACCAATATCTATATATGGGCGGCTAATGTAGTGAAGCAAGAATTGCAGTGGAGTTACGTCACTAAACACTCATGACACCGAAATAGCTTTCAAGTTTTCAACTTCCACTTGTTAGTGCTCTTTGTAACTTCCCTATCAAACTCTACCCTTTAAATCCTCAAGTTTTCAGTTTAATCTTCATAGGCTTAAGAGGTTTGTTTTCCAAGGTAAAAATATTCTCTGGTTTGGTTTTTTTAATGACACTTTTGTGATGTTTTTGTCTCTTATGGTTATACTTTGTGATTTGGTTGAATTTGCAGTCCAGTCCATGACAGTGGCAGCTAGTCCGGCACCTCCTTTAGGAGACCATTTATGTGAAAATGGATTTGAATGTGTTGAAATTCTCCCTGCTACCAATGATGCACATGGCGGAGTCATTGTTGACTTGAAAGATCGTATGGATCCGGAAGTTTTTGCTTCTTTGCTTAAATCTTCGCTTTCGAATTGGAAGAAACAGGTGATTATATTCGTCTAAAAATAATAACTGATATTATATGCAGATGCATAACAAATTATAAGTGGTTACGATATCGATTCTTAATTTTTGAAAAATGGTACTCATTGCTTATAAGTACGTGAAATAAGGATTTACTCGTAGAAAACGAGATAATAAGTTTTGATGTTAAAATATGTAATCTCGACCGATGATTAATATGTCAACACTAACATCGACCATTAATTTATTAATCTACAATTTAGAATACTTATCCTCTCAATTGAATTGCTTACTTTAGAGGTGCAAAATCCATGGAATCAAATGTTCATCTAAAAATCTTCGAGCAACTTGGATGAGATAGTACGAGTTTTTTTTAATTTAACTAGAGATTCTGTGTTCAAATTCTTTAAGAGAGACAGAGTTTTGGTGTCTATTTTGATTCTCTCTGACTCGATTATTGTGTGCAAATACCCGATTTATACCAAAAAAATGTTCGGATTACAAATATCAAATCTTCAAAGTGAAGTTTTTAAAGTGTTGTTACTAACTTTAGTATTCATTGTAGGGAAAAGATGGCGTGTGGATCAAGTTACCTATTGAGCTGGCTAATCTTGTTGAAATTGCAGTTAAGGTAATATTTCCATAATCTCTTCAAAATTTTGTTAAAAGCCTTTTAATGAGGTTTTAGATAAGCACTTATATAAGTATATACTAAAAAGCTTATAAAAATCACTTATGTATTAAGTTCTATCTTGCAGGAAGGTTTCTGGTACCACCATGCTGAACCAAGCTATGTAATGCTAGTTAACTGGATTTCCAAAACAGGCTGCACAATCCCTCCAAACGCTTCTCATCGCGTAAGAGTCGGCGCCATTGTCTTGAACGATAAGAAAGAGGTATAACATAAGATCCATCCGTGGTTCTCAATTTTATCGAGTTCGATTTCTACTGATATAAAGAATAACAATTCATCTGTTTCTTTTGGTTTGGTGAGCTTGTAGGTGCTAGTTGTAAAGGAAAAAAGAGGTAGATTCCATGGAATTGGTGCTTGGAAGCTTCCTACAGGAGTAGTTGATGCGGTATGCACATTTTCAAACCGAAACTACATTTCATCTTCAATACAAAAATCATTATAATTTGGTTAGAAACTTTTGATTTGTAATTACAGGGCGAGGAGATCTTTGAAGCAGCAATTAGAGAAGTAAAAGAAGAGACCGGAGTAAGTATTTTATACAATGTTATATTTCCGTGCAAGGCGAGCGACCGTAAATGATTTAAAATTTGTCACGATTAAATTATAGTTAAAAAATAATTCTACTACAAAACTGTGACTAACTTACACAGGGTTTCAAAAATCTTAAAACGACTTTAGTGTTATTGTAATCAATATAACAATTTTTATTTTGGTTTGTACTTTTTAAATCAGATTGATACAGAATTTGTGGAGGTATTAGGATTCAGACAGGAACACAATTCATTCTTTGAGAAATCAGACATATCATTTGTTTGCATGCTGCATCCTCTTTCTTTTGACATCAAAAGGCAAGAACTTGAAATTGAGGCAGCTCAGGTATTTCTGTTTTTTTCTTAACATAATATATCCCGCTCCAATTCAGGCACCTGATAATAATTAAAAAATGAATAAATTAAATATAATTACAATCGTCAGTATAAACACAAGCATAGACACCACTACTGACACACAGAAAAACGCATATTTTTCAGACACCACCACCGACACACAGAGAGACATATATTTTTCAGACACTACCACCGACAAACAGACAGACGCATATTTTTCAGAGGTGGGAGTAAGTTTATACCTTATAATGAAAGTAGACTAATGAAGAATCACTTTACCCTTGAATTATGACTATTTTATTTTCATAATTGTGTTATAATAATTTCTTTTGTGCTTTGTTCTATTCTCATGAAGTGGATGCCATTTGAAGAATATGCATCACAACCATTCAATCAGAAGCATGAGCCCTTCAAGTACATAAATGAATTATGCAAATCAAAGATGGAAAATGTCTATACTGGATTCTGTCCACGTCTTGTCTCATCATTTTTCTCTAAGAATTTTAGTTATATATACTTGAACACCAAAGACTTAGACAAGTCTTCTTATACGTAAAAAAAAAGTTGGTTATTCTATCAAGATTTAGTGTTGGTATTTCCAAAATAATCTTACATTAACTCTTAATGTTGTGAGGTTATGACCATTAAAATTAAATGTGTTTTTTTATATATACAAAATTAAAAAATTAAGTGAATTTAATTATTATCTTTTAAATTCACATATTTTTTTTGATTTTATGTAAAAAAACATATTTATTCGTCTACCTATAATTATAATTGTAATGTTCACAATATTAAGAGGTAATGTACAAGTATTTTTAAAATACTAATATTAAATATGCATATAATAGTTAACTATTATACTTAGGGCATCTTTAATGGTAGCAACTAAATTGGATAAACTAAATTATTTTACGTGGGTTCAAATTGACATGAAGAATTTAAACAATCTAAAATTGAATTAAGAAGTTTTTACTTCAATGGTGATTGTTTATAAGGAATTCAAACTTGATATTAAATGGTTAATAAAAATCTATTATTTATGTTAAATAATTAATAAAAATTTATTATTTATGTTAAATAATAAGTTAGAGTAAGTTGCTTGTGTATAACACGTAAACTATTTTTAGAGTATCTCATATGTCATGTCAGCTCTACTATAATGCAAATTTCTTATTAATAACGTAAGCTATACAAAATTTTGATTTAATAATACGTTAAAGTTGCTCTTAATAAGCGTGAAAATATTATTTAAAATTGAGACTTGTGGGGGTAGTTGATTTTGGTAGAAATTTCTCTCTTGTAAAATGTTTGTTGTATTCAATTTTTATCTTCATAATATGCTATTTGGATTTTAAGGGGAAAAAAGTTTTTTTTTTTTATGGTTTTAATATTTTTTTTTTTGAAAAAAAAAGAAATAATTGAGTGGATATAAAAAATAAAATCTAATTAAAAATTGTTTTAACTAGACTTTGAATTGTCATTATCTCGAATGATTCATCAAAATTAATTAATTACTTGAGTCAAATTACTTGGTTAAAAATTATTAATCTTAATAATAAAACTTACAATGATTAGCTTTTGTGTAATTAGTAATCTATCTACTTATTATAAATATTATTAGTATAAATTTAAGGCTGTTAAATCTTAACTTTTTACTGGTCGTGTTAAATTGATATATTAATCTAGATTTAATCTTAATTCCATTCTAGCCAATTAATTATTTCTATACTTTAATATCAACTATTTTCTTATCTATTTATTATAAATTTCAGATTGTCAACACTAACTCAACCCCTAAATTTACGCTGACGTTTCCTATTGATATTAATTTATTTCATATTTAAAAAATCAATTACTTCTTTAAATAATATTCTATATTATTTACAAATTTCTATGCATCTAAATATAATAATATAATATTTAAAAATATTTTCATTAACTTTTATAAAAATAAAAAATATCTAATTTTTTTTTCTTCTTTTGCATGCATACTATAATCGGTTTATAAATCCTCTATATTATTCTAGAAATTCAAATTATAGTCAAATGGATATACAAACTCATATATAATAATTATTTTAAGTAAAACATATTTTATAATCAAAATCTAATTTTTTTTATAAATATTCTATAAATAAAATCAATAATTTATATTTTTGTTGAATTTTTATAATTTCACATACAATAATATTATTATATAAAAATTATTTTTTTATAATTATTATTCTGCTAATTTTATTATTTATTTATATATGGCATACATGATATCCTCCATATTATTATTAAAATTTAATTTATTTTTTGAATTGATTTACAAACTCACATATAATAACTTATTATAATTTAAAGTTGTCAACCCTAACTCAAATCCTAACTTTATGCCAACGTGTCAAATTGATATTAATATAGACTCATTCTTAATTCTATTCTAACTGTTTTAAATTGATATCATCAAAAACAAAATAAAATATGTAAAAAATATTGAGTTTCTTGAACAATCACACGAAATTCTATTAGATTTTACAAAAGGAAGAGAAGAAGAAAGAAAAATAAGAATTGATTAAATATGTTTTTCTATTCATTTTCTCAATAAGGATTCAAAGATTACAAGTAAATGCTAACCTCTCTCAACAACCTGAGAGAACTAGTTTATTTATAGACTAATAAACTAACTTAGGGTACAAACTAACTTAACAATTGGGCTTAAAAGCAAAGCCCAATTCGACATACTAACTTAAATTACAAGTTAATATATTTTGACATTATGCTCGAACTGACTTCGACTACAACATACGCAACTCTTGTCGAATCATCAAGCTACCCTTTTTGACATTTGAGTTTGATCTAAATACCACAATTCTTCACCTTAGAACAAACTCTATAACAAAGGAACAAACTAACTTTCATCGTGCAGCTTTACAACTACATATAGTGAAAAAACTTGCTACTTGGCAATGTCTTGGTGATCATATCAGCAACATTATCATCAGTCAAAACCTTCAGCACTTGGACTTCTCCACGCTCGATTATCTCTCTGACGAAGTGCAGCCTCGCATCAATGTACTTAGTTCGCTCATGATAGGCTGAATTCTTCGACGTGTGTATTGCATTTTGACTATCACATTTAACAACGATAACTTGACCTTGAAGTTTCAGCTCCTTAGCAAAATCTTCAAGACACAATGCTTCTTTCACAACTTCAGTGAGGGCGATATAATTTGCTTTGATGGTTGATAAGGCAACAATCTTCTGAAGTGTTGCTTTCCAACTGATTGTTGTTTCAAACATAGTGAATACATAACGAGAAATAGATTTTTTGTAATCCATACAACCTGCATAATTAGAGTCGATAAATCCTTCGATTTCAACTTTGTTATCATCACCACAGGCTCCACCATAAATCAGGACTCGGATCAGAGACCGATTTATGTACCTAAAAATCCACTTTAATGCTTGCCAGCGCGCCTTCCTAGGATTGGACATATACCTGCTTACAAGGCTCACTCTGTATGTTATGTCTGGCGTCGTAAAGACCATAGCATACATCAAATAACCCACTATACTAGCATATGGAATGCTATTCATATAGGCTATTTCTGTAACACCCCAAATTTAATCGGAAATGTTAATTAATTATTTAATTGAGAATATTTATGTTTCGGTGAATTTCCGGTGGTTTTGTGAATATTGGAAAGATGTGCATTTTCGGGTATTTATTTGATCAATATCATATAATATTAATTTATTAGTATTATTATTAATTAAATGGAATATAAGTGAAATAAGGGCAATTTGGGCATTTGAGGGAGTTAGTAAGGGTAATGAGGGAAAAGCCCAATTTGTGAGGCCCAAGACTAGGTTGGACAAAATTGAGTCCTGAAGGGGAATTTGAATTCATTTTGTGTTAACCGTGAAAGTTTGGTGGCCAGAGCTCTGAAGGAAAGGTTGGAGGCAAAAGATCCCGAAGTTAATCGTGAAAGCTGCCAATCCACTAAGGTATGGGGAGTATCGTTGTTCATGATTTTCTATGTATGCCTTTAGATGTGTTTATGGTTGGTTTATGATTTAAGGTATTTTGGGTTGGTTGTGGGGAAATAGGGAATTTGATGATAAGGCTTTGAGGTTAGGGGTAATGGTATGTAACATCGAGTTGGGTTCCTTGAGTTGATTTTATACTGTTGAAGTTATTTTGATTAATTTCCCTTTTTGAGGAAAACTTTGATTTATGCTTTGAGTTCCGTTGTTTATGATGTTTTGATGTACTTTGGGAAAAAACCCGTAGTTACGGAGTATGGACCTATTTTGATGACTTTGAAAGACGTACGCCCTTTTAGTGGCTTTTTAATGAGATTTATTTATTCACTCTGATTTCTGTGTCATTTTGCCTTGATATTTTCGGGGTAGAAAAAGGGTGTTACATTAGTGGTATCAGAGCAGGTCGGTCCGTCCGGCCAAGTGTTTATGTTGTTAATCCCTTGTCAGTCGATAGTGTGAGAACACTATCGATGAGTTGTTTCCTTCTAACCTTGTTGGTGGTTGTAGATGGCAGGAAGGGATGATCGTGCTATTGCTGATGCGCTAGAATCATTTGCCCAAGTGATGGCTCAGAATGGTGGACCTCCAGATGAGTTTCGTGCTTTAGGAAAGTTTCAGAGGAACAATCCGCCGACTTTTGGCTCAGAATGCGGGCATTGCAATAACTTGGACTGTGTTTAAAGAAAAGTTTCTGAGAAAGTATTTTCCTGAAGATGTTCGGGGGAAGAAAGAGGTGGAGTTCCTTGAGCTGGAACAAGGTAATATGACTGTGGCTAAGTATGCGGCAAAGTTCGAGTCTTTGGTTAAGTTTTGTCCGCATTACAACCGTGCTGACGCAGAGATGTCGAAGTGTCTCAAGTTTGAGACCAGAGATTAAGCAGGGAATTGGGTATCAACAGATTCGTCGGTTTTCGGAACTAGTGAACAAGAGCAGAATTTATGATGAAGATAGCCGAGCTCGATCTACTCACTATAAGCAGCTGAGTGAGAAGAAAGAGAAAGGTCAGTTCAGGGGAAAACCATATGTGACTTCTGGTGATAAAGGAAAGCAGAAGGCTTCTGTTGGGAAAAAGCCAAGTGGGGGAGCGGCTACTGCTCCAGGTAAGTGTTATAAGTGTGGAGAGCAAGGCCACCGTGCTGAGAATTGTAAAGCGCTGAGGTGTCATCGTTGTGGCAAGAGGGGTCATAGGGCTAATGACTGCAAAGACGAAGCTCCGACTTGCTTCAACTGTGGAGAGAAGGGGCATATCAGTACCCAGTGTCAGCAGCCGAAGAAGACTGCTACTGCTGCTCAGAAAAGTGGCAGAGTGTTTGCTTTTAGTGGTGCAGAAGAGGCCAAGACAGATAACTTGATCAGAGGTACTTGTTTTATTAATGATGTTGAATTGATTGCTATAATTGATACTGGTGCTACTCATTCATCTATTTCGCTTGAATGTGCTAAGAGGTTAAATTTGAATTTGTCTGCTATGAGTGGGAGTATGGTTATTGATACCCCAGCTAATGATTCTGTGACTA